TGTGACAACACTCGTCGCCCCAACAGACCGCCGCTACCGCAGCACAGAGATTGTCCACGTTTGTCGCATGAAACCTTTCACGTGACGTTCCCCGTCACTTTGACTTGCAGCGGCCAAGGTGTCCGCTTCCAAGTGGGGGGAATTAGTGCGGGCGTTTCTTACTTACATCGTTCTCATCCTTGCATGATCACGATCGCCATCATCCACTTTTCTCTTTGTCCTCATTGCCACTCTGGCTCATCATCATCGTCATCATCTGTGTACTGGCTCTGCCTGTTCGTTTTGCGAGGTCTTTCCTCAAATAAACGCTGATGCAACTTCATTTTTCATTTCATTTATTTATACTGTTAGCCCAGAAGTGGGCCGTTACAGGGTGGAAGTACAAACAATTATTTGCAAAAAAGAGGTACCGTACAGGTCTCGAGATAATTTCTCGGTACTATTGTGACCAGCAACTCGAAGTTATACATAACATACATAAATGGAACACACATGCGATGCAATACATACGCGCAGAACAGCACATGACGCATTTGAGGCGGCACTTTTGCACCGCGCTGAAGATTTGAAAGACAACTACTGCAGGATCATGCAACCAACAAAAAGTACACACACACGCAAAAAAAACATATGTCACTGTTATTCGGAAAATAAACGTTTTAGATTCTGTTCAAATGATGTAAGCGAGGAACAACCAATTATAGACTCTGGCAGCATATTCCAATCTTCAATAGCACGTGGAAAGTAACTGAACTTAAAGCAATCGTTACGTGGGACTAGGGGTGGTATATACATATTATGGCGATGTCTGGAGTGTTCTTGTGTGTTGACCTGGAAGTAATCTGAATAGTTTAGTTTAAATTGATTATGAATTAACTGGAAGAGGAATTTCAGACGCTCAATCCTCGTCCTAAGTTCAGGACTATCCAGTCCAGCTTTTTTACAGAGTTCAGTAGGAGAATGATGTCGGCTATATTTATTAAAAATAAATCTCGCACCAAGTCGCTGTATTTTTGTTATTTTATTGCAGTTTGTCTTTGTGTAAGGGTCCCAGACAATTTTAGAATATTCGATAATGGGTCTGACAAGAGTTTTGTAAGCAAGACACTTTATATCAGATGGGGCGGTATAAAGGTTACGTCTAAGGCTATACAATGCCTTGGTAGCCCTGGAGCATACATTATCAATATGAGTGTTCCACCGGAGGTCGGGCGTGAACCATAACCCAAGATATTTATAGTTTTGTACACGCTTGAGGAAAGCATTGCCAATCTGGTAGTTGTAATCTAGAGGTGCTTTCTTTCTAGTTATAGTCATAAAGACTGTTTTTTCTGTGTTCAAACTCATTTGCCATTCTTCGCACCAATCCTTTATTCTTTGAAGATTGTTGTTTAGATTAACTTGGTCATGTTCAGTCTCGATTCTACTATAAACAACACAGTCATCGGCAAACAACCTTATCGGGACCGTAACGCGGTTTGGTAGGTCATTTATATATAACAAAAATAAAAGGGGACCCAGCACGCTCCCCTGGGGAACTCCAGAATTCACTGCAACTGCTCTAGACTGTTTATTTTTTATTTGAACAAACTGCTGACGGCAGCTGAGATAGGATGAAAACCATTTTGTCAAGTGACTATTTTGAAACGTTTTGTCAATTTTAAACAGGAGCTTTGAGTGCGACACTTTATCAAATGCCTTTGCGAAATCCAAATATACCACATCAGTTTGACCACGCAAATTGATTGTTTTTGAAAGATCATGAACAAATCCGATTAACTGAGTTGTTGTAGATAAGCCTCGGCGGAAGCCATGCTGCTTCGAAGATAATAGATTGTGCGTATCAAGATAGGACATCAAGTGTTTGTTAATAATGTGCTCGAGTATCTTTGAACATGTACTGATAAGCGAAATAGGACGGTAGTTGCGCTCGTCTCGAGAGGAGCCACTTTTGTGAACAGGGGTAATTTTAGCCTGCTTCCACGCTAGTGGGAAAGAGCCACTGCGCAGGGACGACTGAAATATTTTTGTAAGGAAGCGAGCCGCCCATTCAGCGTATCTGTACAGAAATTCGTTTGGTATACCATCAGGGCCGGGGGTTTTTCTTGTATTTATATTAAGTAAAAGATTTAGGACACCCTCTTCGCTAATTACCACATCATCGATCGGCCGCTGCAATGGTGACGTAGAAAACTCGGGCAAAATGCCATTATCATGAGTAAACACAGAAGCAAAAAAAGAATTGAAATCATCAACACGTTGTTGAGTAATTTCAGGTGGCCTCGGAGAGCTTGCTGGGGGAGTTACAAAGCGCCAAACCTTGAGGGGGCTTCCTTCAAGTATTTCGTCAATGTCACATTGAAAAACCGATCCTTGGACTGCTTGATCAGACGTTTCAGTTCTTGTCTCATTGAAGAAATGCAAGCTGTTCCTTCAGGGGTACAATTTTTTGCACAAGATTTCTGTTTCCGTTTTAGTTTTCTTTTTGTGTGAATGATTTCTCTGGTGATCCAGGGATTGGTTTTACAAATGCGTTTTCTAATCCTAGGTACATAGCTGTCTATGCACTTCCCTACAACAGTTGAAAAGAAATGCCATAGCCTATCAGTGCTGCAGTCAGTGTTGTAAAGGACCTGAAATTCATCAAAGGACCACTGCGATACAGCAACTAACTGCGATACAGCAACTGCAATATTTTGTTGCTGTCTTACCCTCTCTCAAAGATGACATCTGGTGTCCCTCAGGGGAGTATACTATGATGGGTATAATACTAAGACTTCATAATATACAGTTCGAAAGATAATACACAAACTAACATTATACAGATCAAACGATAACACACAAACAATAACAGTATACAATTCAAACACTACTACACAAACAATAACATTATGCAAATATACACAAGCATATAATACAAGATTGTGAAGTATGTTTCTATAAGAACTACAAATTAAAAGTGATAAAGCATTGTACAGTGTTAGAGCCGACCTGTTTAAGAATCAAACTAGACGCAGTACATATGTAAGGCACGCACTTCTAGAGTTCAAGGGGTAGTTTTTCAAGCTGCCTCCTGAAGATCTTGGTTTCTTTGACGTTTTCTATATTTACAGAAATATTGTACCACAGTACAATGGCATGTGGTAAGGCAGATAAAGGTGCTACTGTGCCCGTATAAAAACTGGGCTTATGCTGCAAACGATGGAAATATCGATGAGGTTTGAGAAGTGGCAAGAAAGAACGGTGATTGCTGTTGATCATTCTGTGTAACAGGTACAAAAGAGAAATGTTTCTGCGGGAAGCAAGGGAAGAAAGAGAGTGACTGGATTTTTGTTACGCTAGAATGCCTGCTGTGGTTACCAATGATAAAGCGAGCAGCGCGGTTTAGAACCGATTCCAGGCTTTGGGATGAATAATCTTGATCATATAGAAGATGCGTATTCGAGTACGGATGCAGGAGTGTTTGGCAAAGGACCTTGGTCGTGGAGGGAGGGGCATAACCAAGATTGTGTTTTAGATAAGCAAGTGTATGTGAGGAGTCAGCTGTAATCTTGTTGACCACTAGATCAAGAAAGGTTCAAACTCAGAAGGGTGCCTATATACTATATACTGTAACATCAAGTAGGTTTTAGGGGGCTACCACCAAGGAAAGACTGAAATGTTGAGAGAGTGCTCTTGAGTGAAATTTATTTGATTACACTTATCTTTGTTTAATGTCACTAGCCAATCTGAGCACCACGTGGTTACACAATCAAGACCTTGCTGCAAAGCTCTATGATGTCATGGTGAAGTGATTTTGTGGTAGATTATGCAGTCATCTGCAAAAACTCGAATTGATGACGAGGTTTCTGAAGAAAGATAATTTATAGAATTCAAAAATAACAAAGGGCCGATCATAATATACTCCCCTGAGGGACACCAGATGTCATCTCTGAGAGAGGGGAAGACAGCAACAAAATATCGCAGTTGCTGTTTTCAAGATAAAAGCACAACCCGGTATGCTTTGGAATAATACTATGTAAGTTAGTGCAGGATAAACTGAAGTTTTTGGACTAAATAAGATCAGCATGCCACAGTAAATTGTATGTGAGTGTGCGCAGAGTCGTCCTATTAGGATCTATGATATTCCAGCCAGTACGAAATAGCACAGTGTGCATTATGCATTACAAGCACACTGTACCTAGCTGGCTATGGTATCTTGAATTATAGGCGACTGAAAGTTGCTCAAGATGGCATAGATCGTCCACATCTGATTAGCCATTGGTACCAATGAAATTGGTATGGTACGATCAAATATATGAACGCATTTAATTCTTTGAACTCTTCTTTCCACATGGATTCGAAGGGCAGCGATCTCCTGAGTCTCTTGGGTCTCCTCAACAGTAAATCTGTCACGTCGAAGAAAAGGTGGAATGTTCAGGTCTACACCAATCTCCTCCAAAAAGTCATAAATTCAAAACCCCTTGTCTGCCATGACAGAGTCTCATATGTCGAAGGCTGGGTCCGAAAACCCACCCCTCACGCATTCTATGTCTGAGGTGTTCCCGGTGAAAAGCTCCGAGACAAATGTGATGAGCCCATCTGGTGACACACTGATCAGTCCTTTAGGTGTGTGTGTAGACTTATAATGGGAGTAGAGGCCAGACTGTGTCACAAATGATGATGGCACTTCGCAACGTATTTCCGTTGCATCGAGTAATACACGAGTCGACTTGACTGGCAAACTCTTGCTTCTTCAATAGCTTGCCGTGACAGCCATAATGTGAATCCTGTCAATTGTAGGTACATGAAGTCCAACCGAATGGGAAATATTCTTGACACTCTGCTGACAGATGCTGAAAACAAATGTCAAAGATGCTGTTGGAACACTCCGAGATGAAGCTTTATGGAGACCATGAATAGTTGGTTTTGTACACTAACTTTCTGTGGCCGGTCTCTGTAGTACATATTTTTATGGATCCTGATCGTGTGATGTCGCATAATATTGCATCCAATTTCACCTGGTTCCAGATAGTCCAACAGATCTTGAAAGGTTCCATAGTCTGGTAGTCCGGTGTAAAACTGAATTTCTTCATCACAGGCCAGAAATTGTTCTATGCTGAAAGGTGCATACTGGGTCTTTAATTTTTCTATGGAATGCTTGGAAGTGAGCAACTCACTTCGGAGTTCATCGAGCTCCTTGCTCTGTGCTTCAATCGTATTTTTTGCAGTTTACAGCTCTGGCTGACAAATAGAGAGTGCAGCACGAGCCTTGCTCAGTTGCACTGCGTGCTCGGCTAATTCTGTCAGCTGCTTCAACGCTTGGTTGTTCGCTGTGGCAAGCTGTGACTCTAGTGCAGCAACTGCTCTCATGAGCTCGCTGTGGCTAGTAGGAGCATGCTCCTGAAGCATATTTTGGTCAGCGACGATCTCCTGTTGTGGGGCTTCGTTCTCATCCGATGCACTTGCCGATTCCATGGGAGTATCGGCTGGTGGGTGGAGCTTGGGGTGTTTCTTCTGGGAAGCAGGCATAGGTGAGGACGATCTCCATCAAGGTGGTTTTCTTGGGGGCTTAGTTTTCCGAAAAGGAGAAATGGATGCAAGAGCTGAGTCTTTGAGAAAGCGATGCCCACTAGCAACATTTTCAAAGTAGTCTGCCTCTAGGAAATGCAGTGAGCATACTTTTGTCGCCTTTGATATCTTGAGCAGTGGCCCTTCGTCCCTCTTTAGAGCAGCGATCCTTTTTTTTTCAGTCCCTCGTCGCTGGGAAACCTGTGGTATGACACCTGAAAATAAAAAGCTGTTGTTATGATCTGTTTGTCTCGATGCATGGCGAAGTGCCCGACCAACATATGTTTTGAAAAAGAATACCGACCAGCACCCATGGCACGCCTGTGTAATGTTAGCTTACCATAACACAGCGGCAATGAATGCTCGGCCGAACAAACAAATACTTATCACTGGGCGCGGGAGCGGTTCCGCACACAAAGCTCCTTTAGAAAAAGCATTCGCATGCAATAACACACCATTCTGACGCTCGTCTGCAGAGCAGCGCTAGCCTGTTAACTCGTGATGAAGCCATACAAACGAGCGATACGAAGCAAACTTGCATGTCACTTTGGAACACCGGGCACGTTTTGCCTATAGGCGTTGAATGCCCCGCGTGAATATGACTGGTGTTACGACGCGCGCCTCCGACGACGTTATTAAGGGCGCCAGGAATTCTCACTGCTGCAACCACTGTTACGAAAGACGGCGACGCTAACACGGTCCCGAAGGCGCCACTGCTTCGAACTCCGCCGGGAAGGTCACCAGCCGTTTGGTAGCGTAGGTTTCTCAGCTCGCAACTGCTTATGTGCAGAGCTGATAGACGAGCGGACGAGACGACGGTGAGTTAAACAAGGTTTATGTACAGCATATATACGGAGGCGTTACAAATTCAGCACTGGGGCCGACAGCTTAGAGACTCGAAGAGCCGAGCTCTCTTCTCTGACACGTAGGTCTACTTCTCGCTATGCGCCGCAGGGCTTTTTTTATATGCACCGGGAGGATTCTTTGAGTAACCAAATGTCCAACCAGAAGAGCCGCTGGCCGTGAGGTCAGAATGCCTCAATGGGGTCGCCGCTGGGCTGCGTCATTCTCATTGAATCTGGAGCCGCTGCACGTGGTTGCAGCCAAGGACGAGTGACGTCGCCACGCATTGCATCAGACTCACCAGACGGGAAGGCGCCGATTGCTTCGACGGACTCATCGGCTGACGGAGCTCGATGTGCGTTGCGGGACAGATCGGCGCCGTCGCGTGATGACGCCGTTGAGTTATTCGCGTCAGGTGGGCTCGCGTGCTGGCGTTTACAGAGATTGCCTTTTTCAGAGGCATTGACGTTCGGTGTGGACTCGCAGGCATAACCCTGGTTGAGCCCCGCTAAGAGCATCAGTTCTGACAAGAAACAAGGGAGCGAACGAACAACTAAAACACCACAAACCACTTCAGTGCCGAATCCATACCCCGCAGGGGCGCCTGCGCAAGTAGGCGTTTGGTGTGTAGCGACACCACGGACCCGAGCTAACGGGGGAGTTTCGGCTCCCTCCCACGCCTAGCCGTGCGTGGCTTTGCCGTGTCCGGGGAAAAGGGGATCCTGGGGGTTGAGCCAATGCTGGGTGATTGGACCTTTAAGGCCCCCCGGCAGAGGCAACACACCCCTTTGGCCCCGGCTTCACGTAGACGGCACCCCTGGGCTGACCCACCCAGGGGAAATCGGCAGTCGCCTTTTCCTATCTCTCTCTTCCTACATCTTAGTCTTTTCTCGTCTTTAAATCTGTCCTGTCTTCTTCTCCCTTCCATTTACTTCCGATTTTTCCTGGCGGCAAGGGTTAACCTTGTGTAATTACTCAACCTTGAGTAGTTATATTTGGTTATAGTGGCAATGTACGGCTGGCGTCTGCAGACTTATGCTATTAAGTGCTTCAGCGTCCCCTGGTTGGACTCCGTGGTGGGTGGTCGCCATTGCTGCCGAAAAAAGTACACTACTATGGGAACACCTGCATTTCCCCGTCTCCTAGATCGTCTTCCGCCTAAGAGGGGACGCACCGATGACATATCAATTTTCAGCCAACCCAGACAATGCTTTCCCAAATTCCATGTTGTGCACAGCGAAAACCCAACAAAACAAGCCAGAGCCATATCTCCATTTCTTGTTGCTAAATCTCTGACTGAAGTCTTTGGCCCAGGATACAAGGTTACAAAGATGGCTAGCGGAGACCTTCTCCTTGAGCTGCCTGAAAAACACCACTATGAAAAACTTGGCAGTCTCGTAGCATTTGGTAATATCCCAGTATCTGTTTCACCTCACAGATCAATGAACACCTCACGCGGAGTTGTTTCAGAAGCAGACCTTCTTGAAATGTCTGAACAGGAACTGCTTGAAGGGTGGAAAGAACAAAATGTCACAGATGTGAAAAGAATTGTCATCAGACGAGACAACAAAGAAATACTTACCAAACATTTAATACTCACCTTCGCATCTAGCACACTACCTTCATCTATATAGGCTACATCAAATTATCTGTCCGTCCCTACATTCCCAATCCAAGACGGTGTTATAAATGTCAACGATTTGGTCATGGCTCGCAGAACTGCCGGGGTCAGGAAACTTGTGCAAGATGTGGTAGCCACGGCCACCCATCTGATAACTGTGTTAATTACTACGCCCCACTGCGTGAATTGTGACGGGGAACACGCCGCGTATTCGCGTTCGTGTCCTAACTGGAAGAAAGAAAAAGAAATCATCACTCTTAAAGTCAAAGAAAACATCACATTCAAAGAAGCAAGACGAAGAGTGTCGCCATTTTACGGCGCAACATATGCTGATGCGGCGCGTCAGGGGGCAACGCCGCACCAGCCCTCGCCACCCTTTCGGCCAGCGCAGAGCGAGCCATCGGCTGTGGCGCCTGCCCCCAAGGCGGCAGTAGTTCAGTCTACTCCGCCTTCAAGCAAATTGAGGTCGGAGACTCCAGGGTCCTCCGGTCTCAAGGCCTCCCCTCACCAGGCGAGGCCTAAAATCCGAACCACCAGCTCGCATGTGCGGGCATCCAGTGCCTCTGAGGAGGCAATGGATACAACGGTACCCTTGATACCAAAAGAGCGGCGCGCCTCCTTGGAGCGTGCCAAGAAAAACAAAAAACCAATAACGGGGCCGGACGTCCATCCCGCCACCTGAATTAGCGAGCTCACTCCAACACAGGATACACTTTGTACACACAGCAGCATCTCTTTTGTTTAAATATGCAGACAGAAATATTACAGTGGAACATCCGAGGCCTTCTTCGAAACCTCGATGACTTACAAGAACTCCTCCACAAACACAATCCAAGAGTGCTGTGTGTACAAGAGACACACTTAAAACGAACTAACACAAACTTTTTACGTAACTACATAGTCTTCCGAAAGGATAGAGATGATGCCATGCTACCATCCGGTGGTGTAGCGGTTATAGTAAGTCAAGGTATAGCATGCACACAATTACCCCTTCAAACTTCCCTCGAGGCGGTGGCTGTCCGAGCAGTTATTCTAAACAAACTTGTCACTGTCTGCTCTTTGTACATACCTCCGCACCACCGTCTCGAAAAACTTCAATTCCAGTCTTTAATAGACGAACTACCTGAACCTTATCTGGTCCTTGGGGACCTGAACGCACATAATGGTCTGTGGGGTGACTCTCGCTGTGATGCCCGAGGTCGCCTCAATGAACAATTCCTCATTTCATCGGGTGCTTGTCTGTTGAATAGGAAAGAGGCAACATACTATAACATTGCCAACAAAACTTACTCTTCCATAGACCTCAGTATCGCATCTCCTTCACTTGTACCATTACTTCAGTGGAAAGTCATAAATAATCCATATGGAAGTGACCATTTCCCTTTAGTTTTGAGTACACCAATAATAAATGAATGTCCTCCACATGTTCCCAAATGGCTGGTAAACAAAGCCAACTGGGAACAATTTCAAAAGCTTACTCACCTAAATTGGACTGACATCTGCGGGTTAGGCATAGATGAAGCTGTGCAGTACTTCACAGCTTTTCTTACTGACGCAGCAACCAAGTGCATTCCACAAACATCTGTACTGCCCGGCAAACGACACGTTCCGTGGTGAAACACTGAGTGTCAGAATGCGCGAAAGGAACAGAACAGGGCATGGAGATTGCTGCGGAACTCGCCGACAGCGGAAAACCTTGAGAGCTTTAAGAAAATAAAATCTCAAGGCAGGAGAACGCGTCGGCAGGCCAGAAAAGAAAGCTGGCACAAGTTTTTATCAGGGATAAATTCATATACACAAGAGGCTAAAGTCTGGAACATGGTTCGTAGGGTAGCAGGAAGACAAGTACACTCACTCCCACTCTAAACACACAGGGTGATAGCCTGGAAGATCAAGCGAACTTCCTCGGTGCACACTAAGAGCAGGTGTCTAGCTCGTCACACTACACTGAAGCTTTCCAAAGACACAAAGCAAAGATAGAAAAGCAGAAACTAGAATCCAAGTGCACAAATTACGAGGAATACAATCAACCTTTCAACTTAGCTGAGCTACAAACATCGCTAAACTCTTGCAATAATTCCGCTCCAGGCTACGACCGTGTCACATATGAAATGTTGAAAAACCTGCCGCTCGAAACGCGAAAAACTTTACTCTCTCTATACAATGCTATCTGGCTTTCAGGCACCATCCCTGCTTCCTGGAAAGAGGCAATTGTTATCCCTATTTTGAAACAGGACAAGGACCCTTCCTCAGTTTCAAGTTATAGGCCCATTGCACTAACCAGCTGCGTTTGTAAACTTTTTGAAAAAATGATAAACCGCAGACTTTTACATTTCCTTGAAACACACAATCTGCTCGACCAATTTCAGTGTGGGTTTCGGGAGGGTAGATCCACCACCGACCATCTGGTGCGTATCGAGGCACGGATCCGAGACGCTTTTGTTCACAAACAATACTTCCTCTCAGTGTTTCTCGATATCGAAAAGGCTTATGATACAACATGGCGTTTTGGAATTCTAAGAGATCTGTCCCACCTTGGTGTGCGCGGAAGAATGTTTCATATAATCGAAAGTTACCTGTCAAACCGGACATTCCGTGTCCGTGTGGGCAGTGTTCTCTCCCAAACATTTGTCCAGGAAACAGGCGTGCCACAAGGTGGTGTGCTTAGTTGCACATTTTTTATTATCAAAATGAATTCTTTGTACTTGTCCATCCCCCACAGTATGTTCTATTGTACATATGTCGACGACGTTCAGCTTGGCTTCAAGTCATGCAACTTGGCAATGTGTGAGCGGCAGGTTCAGCTGGGCTTAAACAAGGTCTCCAAATGGGCAGATGAAAACGGATTTCGACTTAACCCACAAAAAAGCACGTGTGTCTTGTTCTCTCGAAAAAGAGGCATGCACTCTGAACCTGACATTCGACTGAACGGGCAACGTCTGTCCGTCAAAGCCGAACATAAATTCTTAGGCTTAATCTTGGACAACAAGCTGACCTTCGTTCCGCACATCAAGAATTTAAAAATGAAATGTTTAAAAGCCATGAATGTTATAAAAGTGCTGTCACGTACTACTTGGGGTAGTGATAGGCAATGCCTCATGAACCTCTATAGAAGCCTTATTCGTACCCGCTTAGATTATGGGGCTGTTGTCTATCAGTCTGCCACTCAAAGTGCCTTGAAGATGCTTGACCCCGTGCACCATTTGGGCATCCGCCTTTCTACGGGTGCTTTTCGCACCAGCCCCGTAGAAAGCCTTTATGTTGAGTCAAATGAGTGGTCGCTTCATCTGCAGAGAACTTACATGTCCTTTGTTTATTTCCTTAAGGTGAAAGCAGACAAGAAGCACCCCTCATACTCTACAATTAATGATTTGTCGAGCTCAACTCTGTTTCAAAACAGGCCTTCCATGAGGCAGCCCTTCTCAATTCGCCTGAAGTGTCTAGCTGAAGAAACTGAAGTGTCACTTGAACACAGTTTAATGGCTCCTGTAGCATACCCGCCACCGTGGCAGTGGCAGACTATAGACTGCGATGTGTCTTTCCTAGAGGTTACAAAACATGCACCTATTGCCCATATCCGAACATACTTTCTGGAACTTCAACACAAATACACATGTCCTGAGTTCTTCACAGATGCCTCCAAGACTAACTCCTCTGTGTCCTACGCTGCTGTCGGCCCATCCTTTTCGGATGCTGGCCCTCTACATCCACGCACAAGTATCTTCACAGCGGAAGCTTACGCGATACTGGTGGCAGCTAAACACATCAAACAATTACAAATACAAAAAGCAGTAATTTATACAGACTCCCTCAGTGTAGTAACGGCTCTGCACAGTCTTAAAAAACAAAAAAACCCAGTCCTTGTCGCACTTTACTGCATTTTGTGCACACTCTACACGCACAAACAACATGTTGTAGTGTGCTGGGTGCCAGGGCACCGTGAGATCCAAGGCAACGTGAGGGCGGATCAGCTCGCTGCATCCGTCCATGAGAGCACCGCCATTACATCCATATCAATCCCGGCCCTTGATCTTAAGCCGTCTCTCAAACTAAACCTCAGGGACTACTGGCAGAGCAAGTGGGATACACACACACAAAACAAACTACACGTTATCAAGCCACACCTTGGCCATTGGCCACCAGTATCAAAATCACGTCTAACAGAGGTAACACTAACAAGACTCAGGATAGGGCGCACATACACGACACACACACATCTTTTATCCGGTGGTGATCCACCAATGTGTGATAAATGTGGTGAGGCTTTAACAGTTCTTCACGTTTTAATCCAATGTAAATAGTTAGACACTCTAAGAAGACAACACTTTCCATTACCCTACCGACAACATATACCTTTACACCCTGCAATGTTTGTCGGTAGGGAACCACTTTTCACCCATAAATCATTGTTAGCTTTTTAAGAGATGTTAATTTTTACCATGTATTATACCCAGGCATTGCGTAGCGTGACCTCTCAAGAGAGGTCGCTGCTGCTGTGATTACATTTAAAAGCACTTGCCTCGCAGCCCTTGGACACAAGGGCACTGATGAGACAAGTGTGCTAGTGCCAAATATTTTTACATGTTTTATTATCAAAACCTTTGTCACCCTTTTTAATATGCATATCACGCCACTGTCATGTCTTTAATACTTATGTTTTTACCCACATTATCGCGAGGAATTTTAAGGCCCCTATACAGCCACGCAACATATCATTGTCCGCATCTCTATACTCATTGAAATGGCGCTCTTTGGCCATCAATTGGCCCTTGCGCCATAAAACACCACACATCATCATCATCATCAGCCGAATCCATACACCATACATTAAACATATGCAAAAGCAGGACGTAAAATCGGAGACGGGAATGCCCTGATGCGCGTGCGCTGCATACTTACCTTCTGTTTGGACTTGTCAACGTATCCGTATTGCTTGAACACGGGGACACAGCAGTGCGTAGGCATGTTCGCTCTCGCGGTGCACGCGCTTGACTTCTGAATTCAGGTGGTGGAAAGAATGCCGAAAGGTCGCATGCCGCACTGCCAGAACATGGGTTACATTAGCGAGAATGGCGTTGGCCAGAAGCGCAGTGTTTTCCTTTGCTATGTCGCTCCAGTCGTGACGGCCTCAATGTTGCCAGTGGGGCACACACTGTTGCTAGGCTTTCTGCAAGGGGTCTATTGCCATCTGTTGCTTCCATCGCATCTACTCGAGCCAAGCAAAGCGTGAAGTCAAGCGAAGGATGGGGAGGGAAAGGGGGTGGAAGGGGAGAGAGGGAAGGAGAGCCGAGCATGGGCAGTGGGGGAGCGGACGCCGACGACGATTGACATGGTGCGACTGGTTAAGAAATGCTCCGCATTAAAAAAAACATTCACGGCATATCCATGGAGTGAATGATGAGTGGGCGAGGCATCCCTCCATTCCTCCGTGATTCTGTCTGTCTGTCTGTCTGTTTGTGCGTACATTCGTCTGTGCTTCCATCCGTCCGTCCGTGATTCGGTCTCTGTGTCTGTCCATCCGTCCGTCCATGCTTCTGTCTGTCTGTCTGTCTTTTCATCCGTCCGAGCGTGCGTCCGTCTGTACATGCGTCCATCCATCCGTCCGTCCCTGCTTCTGTCTATACGTCCGTGCATGTTTATATCTGACTGTCCATCCATCCGTCCATATAGGCACGTGTTGATTTCGATAGTTTTCAGTCGAAAAGTATTACTTTTTGGGCAAATATCAGCAAAATTTCAAACTTGAGTGCTCTGGCAAACTTAACATTATAATTAACCAGAAATCACGAAGTTTTAATTCTTCATATGAGTCATATTTGCATTTAAAGCGAAGCCGTGCTTACGGTTCAAACGGTAATCGCCAATCATCACTATATATGTTGCACGGTTGAAGGACACGTGCACTCCAGTACTGTGGATTGAGAGTGTATTTAGCCTTAGGTTGTAACCGACTAAATAAATGCAATTTGCCCCGTTCTTTCGTGGTGTACCAGCATTTAGATTTATCAAAGAAAGGTTTTCGAGCTCAACTGATATTAAGCGGGTGTCGCGAACATGGATTTCAGCAAGGTCGATGCTGAGGTCCGCGCGCCTGATATGTGCCATCCACAAACTGCGCCGCTTCGCGATTTGCATTCGCGCGGGTTCGCACTGATAGAGAATGACCCTTGACGAGCGGAACAGAGTGATGTTCGAAGACTCCTGTCCCTTCTTCGTTTTCCCGCGGTTCGACATGGCGCACAGCCCCATTACGGGTGATCACAAAAACGCTTTCATGCTTTCACTGCCGCGGACCATCATCCCTAAGATGGCGAAATGGTATCCCAGAATTCTTGGCCTTGACGTAGGTGCAAGACATGTACATAGAAGCCTCATGCATAAGAAAGTTACACAACACATATTGGAGAGTGTAGCGAGCTGGTTCAGAAGGATGCCTTAAAATGCGCATTGAAGTGCCACGGTTGAAAGAGGGAAATTAGTGTTGGGCTTCCCGTTTTCGATCCTTCTCGTGGTAGTGTTATGTGTTTTTAACTGTGTCTTGCACACGTCAAACACTTCCCGCGGTTTGCAAAAAAAAGGTAGAAAACGGAGCCGATACTGAAAGCCCATCCTTGTTTTTTTAACTAATATCTCACTAGTGTTGAACGATGTAGACAGCCCCCTCACACACCATCATTTATTTTGGTAAGGATGTCATCACTGAATTTTTATGACCAGTTTTGATTCTTTAACATACGCAGCGCAGTACAGCCTAGAATCTGACACAATAATGCGAAGGACAATGGCCGTAGCACGAAATCGAAAAACAACACCAAGACCTACGACATAGAAAATAAGAGAGAGATAGTGCGCAGAACGACACAGCACGAGCTCCAGCACGTTCCGATAATACGCCAGGTTATCTAGGTCAAGCAGACACCTCCATACGATTTCGATTTCTATTCCCACAATCACTACCAGGCAGATGGGCTTGGTCGGCACAGATGAATCGAGTCTAAACACATTAGAAGGCAGTGCGTTTTTCACCGACGAATCGGGCAAGCAACGGTCAGATAAGAAGCACGATTGATTGATTGATTGATATGTGGGGTTTAAGGTCCCAAAACCACCATATGATTATGAGAGACGCCGTAGTGGAGGGCTCCGGAAATTTCGACCACCGGGGGTTCTTCGACGTGCACCCAAATCTGAGCACACGGGCCTACAACATTTCCGCCTCCATCCGAAATGCAGCTGCCGAAGCCGGGATTCGAACCAGCGCCCTGCGGGTATAAGAAGCACGAGTGTTTACTGTTTCCTAGAAAAAAAGCTTCGGAGGAATGGATTTCCAATAACCAAGCTCTCCAATTGCTCCGCTGATATAGGAAGTATGGTACAGCTTTACCAGTTATTATGCAGTGCCTGATAAAGCTTGCTACTTGACCAAACAGGTTACCAACTCTGGTGTATACTTCAGGTCTGTATGTGGCTAACTTTCCAGTGGTATGTGACTACCCTTTTAGTGTCCTCTTCAAGAAACCCTTGCGATGTTTGTAATTTTTTTTCAAGAAGACTTTGTTTAAAAAAAATACCTATACTTGACAACTTCCAAACCCCATATATCAATTAATCAAGCCGTAACATTATGGTCGATGATATATATATATAATATATATATTCTTTTGAGAATAAGCGAAGAAAACAGCGATGCCCTTGGCAAGCAGAAACTACAGACCTTGCTCGCGTCGTTTCTTCTTTTACTGCCATCAACAACGACAACACGCCCGCAAACAAACACAGTGCACGCGCGAGTGCCAGCGCAGCCTTCCTAATCTTGATTCCGATCGTCCACGACTACTTATACGCATGCCCCCCCCCCCTTCCCGCTCCCTCTAACCAATTCAACTCGTTACATCCACGTAAAATGAGACGGGACGTGACTATTGGGCAGGTATTTACACCGATAAAATTGGAGCGCCGCACACAGAGCGAGCAAACCAGTCCTCTTCGTCGTCTTCTGATCACACATTGGTTCACCCTTCATGCGATAGCTACGTAGCACTACCCCCCGGTTGTAAAAACACTGACTCGGTGCACTTTATACGTGTTATAGAAGGAGGGTGGTATGGTTTCAACCTACTGACGTGGACTACGTCACTAGGGGTGTTTGCAGACAGGTTAGTCCCGGAGACTGAAATGACCTCATAGGTAACGTTTATTACCCGTCGTATGATACGGTAAGGTCCCTTGTACGAAGATAGCAACTTCTCTGACAATTCGACACGACGAACTGGGTACCAGAGAAGAACTAGAAAACCAGGTGAGATGTGAACGTCGACATGCTTGCTGTCGTAGAGAGCCTTCTGGGTTGCTTGCGAAGCCAACAGCACAGAGCGGGCAATCTGACGTGCATGGTCGGCACGAGAGATAGCATCACATGCGTATTCGCTCAGCGGAGGTGTAGTAGTCGGTAGTAGGGTGTCCAGTAGTAAGGTCGGATTACGGCCATAGAGCATATAAAAAGGTGAATAACCTGCTGTACCATGACGAGAATAATTATGGGCGAACGTCACGCGAGGTAGCGCTAGGTCCCAGTCATGGTGGTCAGATGAGACATACATCGAAAGCATGTCCGTGAGAGTGCGATTTAGGCGTTCGGTAAGGCCATTTGTTTGAGGATGGTAGGAAGTGGTCAGTTTGTGTTGAGTTGAGGAAGAGCGCAAAACGTCGTCGAGTACGCGTGACAAAAATGCACGTCCACGATTGGTGAGCAATTGCCGCGGAGCGCCGTGATGTAGAATTACATCGTGGATCAAAAAGTCGGCAATGTCAGTAGCAGTGCTGGTGAGGAGCGCTCTGGTGATGGCAAACCTGGTCGCGTGGTCTATAGCAACAGCGACCCACTCGTTCCAAGAGTTTGATTCAGGAAATGGTCCGAGGAGGTCTACACCAACACGCAAGAAAGGTTCGGTAGGGATGGAGATCGGGTGAAAGAGTCCAGCAGGGGGTGCGGCAGGTCGTTTTAAACGTTTGCATTTATCGCAAAAAGCCACGTAGCGCCGAACCGACCACGCGAGACCACGCCAAAAGAAGCGGCGCCGGACGCAGTCGTACGTACGAGATACACCCAAGTGGCCGGCAGTTGGTTCGTCGTGAAGTTCATGCAGGACCGCTGAACGGAGCTGGTTAGGCACGACTAGAAGTAGCTCAGAGCCATCTGGCTGGACGTTACGGCGGTACAGCGTGCCATTTAGGAGAACGAACATGCGGAGTGACACGTCGTTAGGGTCAGATTCTAGACGGGCAGTGAGTGACCGCAAGGAAGGGTCGCGACGCTGTTCGTCACGAATCTGACGAAACCTAGACATGGATATGACACTGGGGCCAGGCTCGCGGGCCGATTCATCTGGTTGGTCAACAGGGTAGCGGGGCAAGCAATCTGCGTCCAGATGGAGGCGTCCATACTTGTAGGCAACTGAGTAGGAGTACTCCTGAAGACGCAACGCCCAACGACCAAGTCGTCCAGAAGGGTCCTTCAGTGAAGAAAGCCAACAGAGGGGTTGATGATCTGGGACGGCAAGGAACGGGCGGCCATACAAGTAAGGGCGAAATTTCGAAACTGCCCAGACAAGGGCAAGGCATTCTTGTTCTGTTATAGAGTAGTTACGCTCCGACTTTGAAAGGACACGACTTGCGTATACAATTACACGATCAGTGCCCCACTGAGTTTGGGCCAAAACTGCGCCGATGCCGAGACCGCTAGCGTCTGTCCGCACTTCTGTAGTAGCATTTGGGTCAAAATGGGCAAGTAGTGGTGGTGTCGTTAGAGCGGTGATTTGTCGAGAGAAAGCGTCAGCTTGAAGAGTACCCCAACAAAACGGGACGTCATGTTTGAGAAGATCTGTGAATGGGCGTGCGAGTGCCGCAAAGTCTTTCACGAACCGGTGAAAGTCTTTCACGAACCGGTGAAAGTGAGAGCATGGCCC